TTCTTTTGAACTTTTTGTTTCCACTTTTTGTCTTTTAACGGTGTATTTTTAACCTTGAAATGCAGAACTCTTGCCTCAAAACATCTGCATGGTGATAGTGCGGCAGCCATTTTGTTGAAAATGGATATCCGCCACTAAGGTTTCCAAATACGGTAAAAGTGAATATTCACGAGAATTGAACGCAAGCTACACGTTTCAACCCCTTATGAGTTTCTGGTGTAATTTAATGTTTCGCCCTCCGTTCATATGTAAAAAAAGGCCAAAAAAATCGGATTACCTATAGTATCTAGTTAAGCGGGGTTAACGCATACAGAAAATGAGAGTATCACTAACCAAGAAGGTTTCCTCACTTTTTTCGCTAGATATCGACGAGTGCTCCACCAACTCTCACAGCTGTGACGTTAATGCGGTGTGCAGTAATACTGTTGGATCTTACGCATGCGCATGTACAGCAGGATTCACAGGGGATGGATTCACATGCACTGGTAAGCCATTTGAGTTTAATTTCGTTTGTATGATATGTTTGTTTTTTGAGTGAACAACAACGACAGTAATGCAAAAGTCTTTTGTGCTCTTCTCGCTTTTTACAGTTAAAGTTTTGGTTTGGCAGGAGTTTAAATTAATTTTAGTGTTAATGCAATGTTTGTGTGCAAAAGCTCAACACTGTCATGTCATTTTGGAAAAAAGCCTAAAACCATATTTGTTAAAACATAAAAACAACAAACAAACAAGAACAAAAAAAATGACTACATTCACCTTAGGGACCAGATGTAAACCATCAGGTAGATTTAATATTAGTTATTCTAACGCTTTACGTAACTTACAATTCTCATGCAGATATCGACGAGTGTTCTATCAACTCTCACAGCTGTGCCGTTAATGCGGTTTGCAGCAATACTGTTGGATCGTACGCATGCGCATGTAAAGCAGGATTCACAGGCGATGGAAAAACATGCTCTGGTAAGCTGTTGCGGTGTTGTAAAAAACGTTTCCAAAACGATGTGTGTGCCTGTATTTTTTGTATTCGATCTTTACATTTAAACATGTAGAATACGATGGGCATATAACCTCAATGGTTCGAAATAACAATTACAGTAAAACTAGAAATACGTATCTCGCAAAATTTCACTAAACTCGGTCTTGCACAATTGTCAAGCCCAGCCGGTTAGAAAATGATTGGGTGACCTGGCTCTAATCTGTCGTTAGACCTGGGACTCCTTTCTCTCCTGTCTTCTTTTTTGTTTCTTTATTCTATTTGATGTTTAAATGCGTATTTTAAAGCATATTCACCATTATTTCGGCTTAACCTCCATTCAATTTGATCAATAGTATGCCAACCGAGTAAACAGGGTACTTTGCTGTTATATTTAATATAAATTCGTATTGAATCGTTATGCATTTCAGAAAGGAAATTTACTCCCTCGAATACTCCCTCTTACTATAGCTGTTCTGATATAAAGCTAAGAGGAAGTCTCACGTATAAGCTATCGTGAGACGTCCTCGCCTTTTGAGATTCTTTCCTTTCGAATTGTGTTTATTACGTGTAATCAGAAACTCATAAGGGGTTGAAACGTGTAACTCTCATATGTTTGCTTTTTGGGATGCTCGTGATTATTCATTTTCGAAAGTACCATATTTGGAACGAGAAGAAGAGATAACAGACCAATCAAACTTCGTAAAAAATGTGACGTAATTTTACTTTACGTTCCCGTGCCCGCTTAAAAAAATGACCTACTAACCGAGGGAAAACTCCCGAAAGCCGAGAAAGCTTTTAAAGGTTGAAACCAGGAATCTTACCGAAATACTGAGCAGGATGTTACTGCCTTGCCAACCGGGCCAAATGTAACATTGTGAAACCCATTGACGTCCTCGCAACTTCTTGACGTTGTCACTTCAAAAAAAGATGCCTCGTTGACCCTTTGAACAGTAAACTAAAAACTGCAAATAGGCTTTTAAAATTGTTATATTACTAGTCTAGAATAAACTGTAAAAAATATTTTCGAGTAAAATTCATTAGCTTCGTACCGAAAAGTGTCCAAACCCTGAACCTGACATCTTCGCAAAAAGTGATGCGTGTAATGAATGTGAGAAGCATTGAATCTTAAATTCAGCTTGGATGTTGTAGTCAAGATCGTGTGTTGAGCTAATTTTATGAATGAACAATATCAAAACAATAGACAGAGAAGCCGTTTCTTGAAAATTTTTATTCAAAATCCAAAAGGTTAATCCTTTAAAGCAATTCGGAAAACACTATTTGGATCGTGGATCCGTTCACGCAAGTGTACGGAGCCCTAAAAAAGTGAAATCGACTGAGCACATGGCAAAATTCAACACAAAATCCATATCAAATCAGGGCACATTTTGTATTTTTTCTTTCGCGCCGAAGAGAAAAATTTATAAAACGTCTATAAAACATTTAAAAATACATAAATTCCGTTTCAAAAACGTAATTGTCTTGGCAATAGAGTGCAAAATGTACCTGAAAATTCAGCAAAAACTTCGCTGCCTTGGTTGCATTTAACAGACCATGCGCTCCGACGTGAAGAAAACAAGGTTGAATTCCTCGAAGGACGATTTCTTGATGAAAAGCTTCCCTTCCTCCACAAAAAGAAAGCTGAGTATTCTTTTGAACTTTTTGTTTCCACTTTTTGTCTTTTAACGGTGTATTTTTAACCTTGAAATGCAGAACTCTTGCCTCAAAACATCTGCATGGTGATAGTGCGGCAGCCATTTTGTTGAAAATGGATATCCGTCACTAAGGTTTCCAAATACGGTAAAAGTGAATATTCACGAGAATTGAACGCAAGCTACACGTTTCAACCCCTTATGAGTTTCTGGTGTAATTTAATGTTTCCCCCTCCGTTTATATGTAAAAGAGGAAAAAAAATCGGATTACCTATGATTTTGCTGCATCACTAAACAAGAAGGCTTCCTCACTTTTTTCGCCAGATATCGACGAGTGCTCTACCAACTCTCACAGCTGTGACGTTAATGCGGTGTGTAGTAATACTGTTGGATCTTACGCATGCGCATGTACAGCAGGATTCACAGGGGATGGATTCACATGCACTGGTGAGCCATTTGAGTTTAATTTCGTTTGTATGATATGTTTGTTTTTTGAGTAAACAACAACGAGAGCAATGCAAAAGTATTTTGTGCTCTTCTCGCTTTTTACAGTTAAAGTTTTGGTTTGGCAGGAGTTTAAATTAATTTTAGTATTGACTGTATGTAGTAAGCAAATAGAAAAGCGGAGCCAAGCAGCCAGTTCATATTATCGGATACGTGGAACGATGGTGATTGTTCAAACCTGCGATCATTTTTTTAGGCCTAATAATATACACGAAAAATCAATTCCTATTGGCCGAGAAAGGAGTGCATTTCTTCTGTTACACGAGTGCAAATTTGTAACACAAGTGCACATTACAAATGGTTTCTGATTGGTTGAAAACAAAAAAGAAACCAGCAAGAACCAATCAGATTAGAGCTGTTTTAACAACAAAATTTAAGAAAACGGCCATGGTTTTCAGCAAACGGCGATTTGATTTCATGTACGCAAAACAACAATAGAAAAGTTGAAAAAAATTCCAACAACTCAAACAGTGAAAAGAACGTCTTTCCGGCTAAATGAGAAACTAAACAAGCTACTTATAACGGACTATGCTAAAGTAGAAAATAAAGAACAAAAACGGTGGCAACCACACGCAAGCTATGACAGCTCCGCTTTTCAGGCATAAATGAACACGGATACAAGTTTTCCATGATAACAACAAGGACTTCAAGTCACGTCATTCTTTTGTTGGAGGAGAAAGGGGTCCGGTTGCTCTCTCTAAGTCTTTTGTCGAGCAAAGACCTCTATTAAAACATCCATGCCATGGTCTGTTTCTTTCTTCCTCGGTAGCAAACAAAACCGAAAATTTAAAGATCTGGTTCAAACTAAACCAATGTGCGAAAATACCATAACTAACATTTTAATGAAAGTGTCCGTAAGTGGTAGTACTAGCCTTAAAGAATGTGAGAAAAAAGTTTACGAATCATGGTGTAAGGAAAACAACAGTCAGCAAGCTGAAGAAAGCAAACCTGATATATTGTAACTTCAGAATATATCGCCACTGTCAAAGGCCACAGAGGTATAAATTTCATCAACGACTACGATGAAGCCGACGAAGAAGAGCGACGATGACTCTCTCTTGCAATATCCAAATGAATAATAAAAACCCCAGCGCTGAGAAAAAACAAATATTATATTAATACTGGCGGGAGTTTCCGACATCACAACAACTGTGGCTCCACTCACCCATCGGCGATAACAGCGTCGAAAGAAAACAAATTTCCTCCTTCATTTTCGGGTTTAATTCTCAAAAATTTCTCCATGAATCCAGCTATGATGAATATACTCTCCTCAAACAGAAAACAGGAGCATCCACAGACTTCATATCAAACATCAAAAACGTTCGAATAATAATAATAATAATAATAATAATAATAATAATAATTATAATAATGATAATTATAATAATGATAGTAATAATAATAATAATAATAATAATAATAATAGTGATGATGAGGATGATAACAAAATTAGTTTCCACTAAAAACTAAACGGAGCAAAACTGTTTACAAACTCATAAAAATAACCAACAAAACTGCTTGAAAACCATACCCTTCACAGCGGCACATACCCATATAGCCCATATATGGCAGTACCCCCCCCCCCGGGGTAAGTACACTTCGATGATCAATGCTCATAAAAGGATAAAGAAAAAGAAATAAAAATGTAATTAGGAGCTGCAGGTGAAGTGTCTCCTAATTGGTCGCAAGAAACAATAATATTTCATTCTTCCAATTGTTTTAGTAATAAGTATTGTTTGGGGTCAGGGAAACGCACCATTGGTGACTTCTCTTAGGAGCAGCTGCTTCATGACCATTGATTTACGGCTACCATACCTCACAATAACATATTATGATGCCTTCAAACTCAACAGTTCTGTAGTACACGAAAACCTATACTACCAAATCCAAATTATTCATTCATTGCAATCTTAAAATCCAAGGACGGCGTCACCTTTTTCCCTTTCGTCGACGATCGTTGCCATTATTTCTACCATTGATAACGTAGCCTTTAAGTAATAAATTGCCTGAAGGCGAATAATATTTTTTTAAGTTAGTTGTAGAAAGAACGTACTATGCGACAAGTTTCCGTGCCGCGAGCCAAATTTTAATAAGACGAAGGATTTCTTCGAAAGTTGAAGATATTACTTGAGAATGTAAGCAATAAATCTCCGTCTGCGGTCCGGTCCGGAAGGAAATCATGATATAATGTGACAGTTCTATTGTCTTAAAAAGAAAAAAACAGATAACGCTCGAGAGTGCGCATCATCAGAGCGCTGTCCCTTTAAGCGATTGTTTTCCTAACTTGTCTCTAAGGTGTGTTAGGAATGCCAGTACACCAGACGACAACAATCAATGAAAATCAATCATTGATTTCAATCAATATAATCAATAAAAATCAATAAAAGTCTATTGATTTATATTGATTGGCTTAGCCAATCAACAAAAACCGATAATTACTCACCGATTATGCAACCGTTAAAACCCTAGCCTCCTACGCAGACGTTCTTAGGGGTTCGTCACGCGTTCCTGTCCCACTAACGACGTTAGTAGGACAGGGATGCGTAACGAACCCCTAAGAACGTCTGCGTGGAAGGCTATAAAAACCCGGGTAGGCATTAGCTTAAATGCTGGTTAAACGTCGGTCGCAAGCACAACAATGCAGTTACGTTATGTCTGTGGAAATTTCTATTTCTTGTGTAGTCATGGAGCATCACACTGTCCTTTTAAAGTAAATGAAGGGAAAGTGTTTTCCGTTTCCAAGAAGAGGGGAGAACTGAGGGAAGAACGAGGGGAGAACAGAGGGAACTGAGGCCAGCTTGGCCATCTCCAAGCCGATCTTGTCACCCCACTTTATTCACATCAAGTGGATATTTCCGCGTAAGTACAGTAAAAGGAGAAGTAAAACAGTCTGTAGAACAATTTACACAAATCACACTACAGCCAATAAAATCGATATAAATCATGAAAATCAATGAAAATAAAGAATCACTCAAAACTGCGGCTTTGATTTTATCGATTTTCAATATCTATCAATTAATTGCTTTTGATTTTTATTGACTATTATTGATGTTATTGATTATTGATTTTGATTGAATGTTATCGTCTGGTAGTACAATGTACAAGCATTTGCGGTACTTACCTGAGTCGAGGCCCTGCGCGTCCTGTCATGATTGACTGTTTCTCGAGATCAGCAATGACGATATCATTTTCGCTATTTCCCTCTTTATCTAACACGGTATCCGATTCTTCACTCTCCTCTTCACTGCCCAACAACTCACTTCCGTTGTCTGGACTTTGATGATGATGATAATGATAGTGATAATGGAAATTTTATAGCGATCGGACAAGGAAAAAAACACCTTTAAGGCGATTGAAAAAATATCGGTATGACCTCTGAAAAACTGTATCGAAACCAGCCTTAAGCCCAGCGACGTTCTTGTAATGCGTTTTCTGGAGCTCATTCTCGTCCTACAAACTTCCGCCCCGACTCAGCGAATTTTAAAAAACCAAAAAATAGACGAAATGAGTGGAAGACGATTACACCATGGAAGTACAAGATTGACAGACCAAATTTGCATTGATTTAATCGACAGCAGAAATGAAATTAAAATTGTAAAAGATTTTGACAACTGCCCAGTTGAGGAAAATGGTCGGAAAATCGGTATCGTAGATTCGGCAGCACAAAATCTTAAGACATAAATTTGCATATTTGGAGAGAAACTGTACGAATACATGATGAACTTCAGGAAGAAATTTACGGGAAAACAATAAACCAGCCATAGCTTATAACAACTGATAAGAGCACGATGACTTGACATAATGAAAATACCAACAACAACGACGAAGGAGCGAACGATTTAGCACCGGGCATGTGAATAAGATTGGAAGAGTCGCTAAGGAAATCTAATAGCCAGGGCTAAAAGCGAAGCTTCCGTTAATAAATTCATAATTTAAATCAAACAATAAACTTGTAATCCACAGATCAAGGCACATTCACTTGACTTTTGAGGCAAAGGCTAAGTGAATTTAGAGAAAAATAATTTGACAGTCCACTGAGTGAAAGAAATTTTACTTCGAGTTATTAAATAGTCTTATTTGTACACCCAAAAATAGCAATCATGTTCGATCACAGTAGATTAGGCCTGGAAAAGAAATAGACCTATTCGTGTATTGTATTTGCATTAACACCGCGGCAAAACGCACTGCGCATGAGCACAAAATTTAACATCCGGTCAGCTTTTTATTTCCGGTCTAGTATATAAACCAATTGCGTAAGCATGACATTGCCGTCGCGCCGAGTTTAAAAGCAAAAAGGGCGAAACAGACAAAAAAGGGGGCCAAAAAAATCACTTCATTCGAAAGCTTATACATTTTTCTAGTGTCAAACTTTTGCACCACATGGTTATCTGTTTGCACCGACGGTGAAAATGATGTTTGAAGTTTGCAGGTCGCGAGCTCTCGACAAGACGAATTTGTTTTCACTGGCTTTCTTGCATGCTACTGGTTTGGCATAAGTTAATTTGCGAGAAGGCGATAACTAAGAAAAGAATGGCAATACTTATGAAAGAAACCAAAATAAAGACGTCATCATTATCATTAACACTAGAATCATGAAATAAAATTTTAGTCTGTTCAACAATTTTTTTTATTATCAGAGAAAACAAGAACTCAAAACAAAAGATGTGCGGGATTTAATAACAACCTCGACTTTGATGACTGCAGTCACGAACACCCGTAGCTTTCAGTGCCGGGAAACTAAACATGCCTATAAAGACTTTCATTCAAGAAAATGCCTATTTAATTCTTTTACATGGTTGTTCTTTGGTTGTTCTTTGGTCGCTGAAGACGTCAATAATTTCAGACTGTGCGGCTCGGCTGCATCTCACGCAAACACGAAACTTTCAGCTACTAAATACATGGCATGAAATTTCGA